GCCGGTGAGAACTCTCAGCACTGCTCCTCAGAATGACCAGGCAGGCAGCCTCTGGAAAGATTTTGTCTGCAAATCCTCACGAGACTCTTCTGCTCTGCCCTGCAGGGTGGCGTCCAGCTCGGGCCGGATAAACAGTGAACCACCTGCCCACTGACTGGAAGACTGGAGACTGAAATCCACCCAGAGGTGGACTCTGCTGGTTCCAAAGCAGGAAAGGTGCCCATCAGGGCTGTGTCCTCTCTCCACTCCTCTGCAATCTGTACGCTGAGGAAATCGCTGGAGAAGCCAGACTCTGTGAAGGATCAGAAGAGACCCCAACTACCTGCATTACGTAGACAACACAACACTGACTGCTGAAAGTGCAGACGACCTGAGGAGGCTCAAAGACTGCGGACTTCAGCGTGGGTTTCATCCCCCCTGGACGACAGGAGGACGCTCTGGAGGCGTGGTGCAGGGCCGGTTCACGGACAATGCAAAGGCCTCCGTGGTGGCTCAAAGTCACCAAGAGAGAAATACAGCCCATCTCCTCCCAGGTCCTGCTGGGGAAGTGAGGCCACTGTCCTGAGGGGGTGGGATACGTGATGGGGGATGGGAGAGCAGCCCCCCTGCATCACTGACCGCCCAGGGTCATCACCACCACAGAGTCACCTGCAGGTGAGTGGGCCCTGGCAGATGGCTAGCTGTCCACTGCAGGCCATATCACCTGTGGGTCACACCAGTCCAGGACTGAGTGTGCCCCTGTCCACCGCAGGCCATGTCACCTGTGGGCCACACCAGACCAGGACTGAGTGTGCCCCTGTCCACCGCAGGCCATATCACCTGTGGGTTGCACCAGCCCAGGACTGAGTGTGTCCCTGTCCACCACAGGCCATGTCACCTGTGGGCTGCACCAGCCCAGAAGTGAGTGTGCCCTGTGACGTGGCACCTTGCTCCCTGGGCTCCAAGGCTGGGCCTCAGGGCACACCCTGGGCAGTGACTCAGCTCAGTGGGTGGCCACCACGCCCCATGCCTTGAGGGGCGTGTCCACCCCACATCACTCGCTGGGCAGCAGCCACCGCTCCTGCCTCTCCTCAGAGCTGCATCTACTGCTCAAGTACCGTTTACATTTTCAAGATGTGAAAACCGGGGTGGAGCAGGCCAGCCACTTGGTCCTGCCCGTGGAAGGACAGTGATGGCTCCCGGCAGTCCTCGGGGTGGGGTCAGAGCCGGCTGTGGAGAAGGTCACGCTGCTGGCTGGAGTCCGGGGTCCCCGCTGCTCCGGGGGAAGGTCTTCCAGGGCCCTGGGCCTGGTGGACAGTCCCCAGCTTCTGGTGGCGTCACCTGATGGCCAATTTAGGAAGATACCCCAGCTCGTTCAGAGAGATGCAGGCTGGCCGAACCCGATTCGGTCTCTCTTTATTGAATTGGGCAACGCTGGATTTATGGTACTTAACGTTCTGATGACAAAAAAAAAAAAAGTTATCTGTTGGGTCCAAATAAAGATGAATGGAGCTCGGGGCAAACGCAAAAGGCCGTCGGGGTGCTCACCCTGCCCGCACGTCCTTATCGCCGCCGTGATGCGCCGTCTGCGGAGTTCAGATATAAAAAACCCTTTTGAATTTTTCCTAAGTAAATTGTATATAAATTTAATCTCAGCTAAAAGGTAAAGACAGCCTAGAGCCGAAGGGAGGCCTGAGGCCGCAGTCTCTGTCCCACCAGACGCGAGCGGAGGGAAATGGGGCTGTCTTGGCTAATCCATCACCTTGGAGTAATTGATCGTATATTATTATTGATGAAAGCCTATAATATGCCCGTTAGAAGAGAGTGGGTTCTCAGAAGATTAGATTTGTGTACGAAAATGGAAGGGGAAAAAATGACTCTCATAAAATAATTTGAGAGTGGTTTATGGTTTAATGCAGTTGGATGAAGGGATGGGCCCCAAATTGGCTCTCTCGCCGTCCTGCGTATTGTCCACTTGGGGAGAATGGGTCTGGACATGCAGCAGGGTGGACAGTGGGGAGCCCGCAGGGCAGCCTGGGGGCGGGAGGTTGGCAGGAGGATGAGAGGCTGGTGGGCAGCACTTGGTGGCCAGGTCAAGGACAGCATGGACCCACTGAAGGGGAGTTCTCACCAAGAGCCATGTGGCGGGTGGTCTCCTGGTGCCTGAACGCTGCTACACCTTAGAGAGAGGGGCTAGGGATGTGCGTCACCACGACCATGCAGGGCTGTTTACAAACCCACAGTCCAAGATTCTAGAAGGTGCCATGTTGGAGTGTGAGTGGAAGATTCTAGAGGGCATCACAGTGCAGTGCGGGGCAGAAGATTCTGGAATGTACCACATTAGGGTGTGGAGACCAGGAACTTTCTTCTGGTTATAGTTTCTGTTGTGTGCACTGAGGCGTTACCTTTCAATGCTTTGAAGTCAGCGTTCACGTGGTTCCTCCTTTCCACTCCTGGAAGGTGGCTAAGGCGCTCCGTGTCCTCTCAGATCATCTCTCCTCTTCCAGCGAACCCCCACCCCCATTTTCGGTCTTTACCCCCTAGACTGCATCTCCCAACTTCCCCTGGAGCAGGTGTGACCACGTGGTGAAGTTCTGACCAATGGGATAACAGTGGAAATTACAGGTGATCCCGGGAGCCTGTCTCCCCACCTCCTTCTGCTGGAATGCAGGTTCCTGAAGGGTGTTTGGGACCATGTGTACCTGGGGCCCAGGAGCAAACACACACACACACACAGCCCACCATTAAGGACCCACCTCCACGTTTCACCCACTCAGCTGTTGTCACCCTGTCCTGTTACAAAGCATTGATGACATGTGTACCTCCTGTCCAAGAAGTCCAATGGTGTGTGGAGAGAGGCCCACGCCTCATTAACTATCCCTTTTGCTAGAATACGGCAGAGAGAAATCCCTGCTGTCATAAACATTAGCATGTTCAGCTACAAACTCGAAGTTTAGGGGTTCAAGCCCACTCAGGAGCTCTCCAGAAAGGCCTGGCTGTGTGATCCTGAGTGACCAGATGGTGAAAACCCCAAGGGAGCCCACAGGCCAGGACCAGGGGGACAGCGGGCCGCCTGTGAGTCTCCGCCTCTTCCCTTCACATCCGCTCTGTGGTGAGCACTTTGTAAACGCTCAGAGGGTCTTTGAAAACACACCTGGTCTGCTCTCGACGCAGGAGACGCTGTGCACGCCCATTACTCAGCGCTTGTCGCCTGTGGGACCCCCACCCCTCAGTTATCACAGGGTCCTCTGCTGGGACTCTGGGAAGGGCTGCCCACAAGGACTGCACCGTGTCCAGCCATCTGTGTGCTTTCATGTGACGTGGTTGAACCGCATTAGCGGGTAAATTGTAGGGGGACAAGGCAGGTTTACGAGTCATCTTGCTCATAAATCTTTCCCTGTTCAGAGCCTCTTCACTTAGGGCCTTGGCCCTGAACCCCACTCCTCCCACTAACAGCAGACTTTGGACGCCAGAGGTGACCCTGACCCAGGATCCCTTTCACCATCCACTGTTTTCAGACATTGCTGTCATGTTGCTATTGTTTTGTGTTGTCCCTTTTAAAATCATATTGTGAAGACCTGCAGAGCATCTGGTTCCCGTGGGAGAATTTGTGGATGCGCCACGGGCACTCCTCACAACACGCCCACACCCGCGTGGCCTCCGCCCCTCACGACACGCCCACACCCACGTGGGTTCCCCTCCTCATGACAAGTCCGCACCCACGTGGCCTCCGCCCCTCACGACAGGACCACACCTGCGTGGCCTCCACCCCTCACAACACGACCACACCCGCGTGGCTTCCCCTCTTCACAACACGTCCACACCCGTGTGGCTTCTCCTCCTCCTTCTGTTTGTTCTGTTTGCAGCAATCCAGCTTCCCTGACCCTTTGCCTTGGAGTCGGCGGTGCTCCTGATTCAGGTCATGGTCTTCTCCATCACCTGTTGTGCTGGACGGTGACTAAGGATGACAGAAGAAGAACTGATACCTTTGAGCTATGGTTCTGGAGCAGAGCGCGAGCATCCCGCGGACGGCCAAGAGAACGAATAGGTACGTCTTGGGAAAAGTGCAGCCAGTGTCCCCTGGAGGCAAGGCTGGTGAAGCTTCATCTTTCATACCTTGGACATGCTGCCGAGAGGCTATTTCTTGGAAAGGGACATCATACTTGGAAAGGTAGAGGGTCAGTAAAAAAGACAGACCCTCGGTGGGATGGGCTGAGGCCATGACTGCAGCCACAGGCTCCAGCGTATCAGAGACGATGGGGAGGCAGCGGGCAGGCCGGGCGCAGCTCGGTGCTTCACAGGGTCGCCACTTGACTCGAGGGCCCCGGTGGCTCATGTTCGCCGACTAACCGGGAATCGGTGGGCAGTGTCCTCCCCCGACGATTTACCAGCTGCGGGGGCCGGGAGTCGGCATCGACGCCAAGTTTCTTACCTCCAGTGCTTGTTTTCACTCTGTGGCTGATGCTTGGGTGAGGAGGCCAAGCAGCCCTGTTCTTACGAGAGGAAGTTCTCCGCTCACGGCGCCAACCTGCCGTCTCAGCCAGCCCAGGAGGCGTAACCCCACAGCCTCTCCGCACCCCACAGCCTTCACTGCCCACGTGCCCGTCACCTTTGCCCTCCCCTCGGGGTCTGACTCAGGCACATTACCCACTCAAACCTCGGTGTGCCCATCTGTGAAATGGATGCACCACGTGCATGCCCACCCTCTGGGTCCGAATCCTGGCGGCCCCAGGAAAGCCGCTGTGGACACGCAGGGTGAACAAACACTTTAATAAAAACTCAGTGACTGTATGACTGTGTGGCGTCTGGGCGGCCAGTGGGAGAGGCAGCGGTCCTGACCAGCGGCCCTGACCAGCGGTGGCTGGGGCTCCTGGCAGGCAGGTGGGGGGTCCCCTCAGTACTTGAGTAGCCAGCGAGGCTTGTGGGGACTCAGCGAGCTGAGGTAAGCCCACCACCAGGGCTTGGCACCACGGCCAGAGGGCTGCCTCCGCACCTCCAGGAGCTCGCCCTGCTGGCCACTGTCCTCCAGTGGGTCGCGGGGGCCCGGTCCACCTCTCTGTGGCCCAGGCAGGAACTTCTTGGGCCCTGTTCCCAAGGGCTGGAGGATGAAGTCCACCCTGCCGGCCCTCCTCATGCGGGCGGGGATGGTGACCCTCTTGATGACCTTGGAGTAGCCAGGGGCTTGAGCGATGACGATGTGGGACCCCGGGGGCAGCAGTCTCCAGTAGTCACCATCGGGGGCTGGGACAGAGGTGGAAAGCGGTCAGCCTGGCCGGGCCCGGCCTTGGCCATTAGGGTCAGTGAGGGTCACTCCAAGGCCAGACAGACCCCAAGCTGCACTGGGCTTGCTCTGCCTGCAATGCTCTCCTCACCTCATCCCTCCTCAGCCAAACTCCTATTCATCCTGCAAAACCCTGCTTACATGCCACTTCCTCTCCAAAGCCCTCTGACCATTCCCATAGCCCCAGCCCAGCTCACATGGGGCTAGTAGACCCTCCTCACCCCAGGCTGCCTCTACTGAGAGCCAGTCACATTAGGTGAGGGGTCCCCAGGCTCCCAGAGCCCAGGCTGAGAACATGCAGTTAGAAACAGAGGCACCTTCGCCTGCAGGCAGGTACCCGAGGGCAGATCCCACAACAGCCACTGCCCTCCCTCTGAACACGACCAGCCTGGGGCTGGGCCCCTCCCACTTGGTCTTGTCTCCCACACAGCCCCCATCCCAGGCCCTGTATCTGGGGTCTCCACTCATCTGGGGCCCCTCTTATGAGTCACTGTTCACTATGATCGCTCCACATTTAAGGTGTCACCACATTTCAGATGTTACCAACACCTGGGTTCCCTCCAACCTGGACCTCTGCCCCACAGGCCTCTTCTCATCCGAGGCTCCTCCCACTGGGGGCTCTTCCCACCCGGTACCCTCTCCTTCCTGGGAGCCCCTCCTACCTGACTTCCCTCACTCCCCTTCGCGCCCCCACAGATCAAGGGTGATGGCTGGAGCTACCTGAAAGCCCACAGCAGGCCCTGAGCTCCGTGGGCAGGGATGAGTTGCCCGCAGCACCCCTCTCTGAGACCCAGGGTGGGTCAGTGAAAGCGCCCCGGGAGAGCAGGGAGCCTCCTACCTGTGGTGACGTCATGACGGATCCCCTTGACGACGATCCGGGCGTTCTTGACCGGCTTCCCGAATTTGTCCATCACCACCCCCTTGATGCCTCGGTGCGCCTGGGGGACAGGTGGAGAGCTGGTGTGGTGGGGCCCACCCTGTCCCCACCGTCCTCAGCCTGTGTCTCTGGGACCACCCCGAGGAGAGGCTGGGACATGGCTCCCCGCCGAGGATCTGGGTGTCGCCCCCTGTGAACCAGTCTCAGCTCTAGAACATTCCAGGTGCAGGTTGACCCCACACTTCTACCTGAGGGGGGGGTCCTCTGACTGTATGGGAGGTGAGAATGTTGTCATAGGCCACCCCCACCTCCAGGACATCATAGTCCCCACCGCATGTCAGCGTGCACTGGACACCGTGTCCCTCATCCTGTGAATGTCACACACACCACCGGTCCACAGCCCCACAGCAGACTCCAGCCCAGGCCTGGCTGGGATCACTGCAGGCCAGGCCTCAATTGGCTGCGACAGATTGGCCCTTATCAAGAGGCATCGTGGCCGCCCCAGGCCTGTCCATCCTGCCGGCCGCCTGCACGCTGCCCAGCCTCTGGCCAGTAGATGTTTAAACCCAAGATGTCACGTGCAAAGTCCCAGAGCAGGCGAGCTCTGCAAAAGCCCCAGACAGCCGTAAAGCGAAGCTGGCCTGCACTCGGGCCAGGAGCCTGGTGGGCCCTCCCCAGGCAGTGAATGCATGGCCGTAAGCAGAACGAGATGGCCCTGTTAATGTCCAGTTACGTCTGGGTCTTGGTGATCCTGCTGCGGCTCTAAGACAGCTGTGGGGGTCCTACCTGCTGGAAGGGCCTGTCTTTCTAGAAAGGAAGGAGCTTGAAACTCGGGGACAGCAGGACTGGGGCACTCTGGCTCCACAGTCACTGGGTGGTGTTAGACAGCCTTCTTCTCTCTCACCCTCCACCCCCATCTGACGCTCCTCCTCTGGCCCGTCTCCTCCTCCCTGACCCTCTGTCTCTTTTTCTGATCTCCTCCTCTCCGACCCTCCATCTCCTCTTCTCTGATGCCCTGACATTTTCTATGACTCTCTACCCCCTCCCCTGGGTCTTCCTCTCTGACCCTCTGTCTTCTCCTCTCTGATCCTCCATCCCCTTCTCTCTAACCTCAGCCCAGCTCTGCACTCCTGGTCACTAGTTCACCACGTGGGTCACGAGGAGAAAGGCCCAGACTGTGGAATGGAGCCAATATGGAGGGACACGGTGTGTCCCTGGCCCCCCGCCCCGCTCACCATGTCCACAGTCAGGAGGAGCTGAGTGGACAGGGCAGTGTGTGCCCCCC